TAGTCTGGATATTAAAGATAAAGCGTTATGGAGAATTTTGTCGGATTTTTTGTTTAGAGAAACAGAAGAACTTCTAACTTTAAACTTGAAAATCGAAGACCTACAGTGGTCCCAAAAGTGTTCGCAGACTTATGATTTATTGAAATGTGGCTCTATCCATTAATTAAAAGCAACTTTCTGAATGAGACTTTATTAATAGAAGTATATCTTTCGTAACAAAATTACACGAAATATTTTAAAATATAGCGAACTTTATTTTAGAAAGTAATAATCAAAAAATAACAAACATTTTATCTCACAAGTTCGCATACTGAAGTATTTTTGATAAATCAAAATTAGAATTTGTTTGCCGGCGTTTTTTAATTTTGCATTGTTGTGGAATTTAAAAAATAGTTTGCTTTAATTTTTATTGTTTACTTCATAATATTCTATTATTATTGAAAAATGGGTTGTAGTCGTAGCAATTAGTAAAGCATTCGAAAATTGATATTTTACATAGTAGTGGAAATCAATTCGAAATATCGCTAATTTGTTAAATTTATCCCATTCTACAGTGCAGTAGTTAAAACGCTTTTGCGAATGAAAAAGTGACGCAGAGGTTATTGAAACCGTAAAAATTTAGATTGACAAATTAGTCGGTATTCTCAACTCAGCAATTATAGGACTTGAACAGCGGAACTTTACCATACCATCTAAAAATTTGAATATATTTACGAAAACTACAAGAATGGAATACGACATAAACGCTACTCTTATGACCCAGTAATGTCAAACATTGCTTGTCTATTTGTAAATTGAAATTCCTACTACAGTCAAAAGTCTTTAATCCGGACTCGTCCGGACTTCGGCGACTCCGGATTATCGATCATCAGTTTAAATCGGGTAAGATGGCATGCAGAAATTAAAAAATTAAAATATGAACCGTAATTTATAAAATAATGAGCAATTATGATCTAAGGGTATCAAAATTTACAAAAAAAAGCTTAATATTTATTTGTTTACTTATTAAACATTTCTTTCAACGCGCGCATGCGTAAACATCATTACGCATAGCCGAAAGTAGAAAATTGCAACCTGAAAACTATTGATTTGTAGTGATATTTAAATGACGAGGAATTTGATTTAAATCTATCAAAGAGAGTACATCAAGATGAAATACTACATTTATAAGGAATATAAGCCGAATAAAATAAAAACATCTGCCCTGAAGATAACGATAGTGCTGAAGATCAACTTCCAGTTCATTGCGCGCCCGACGTTCCTTCCCCCCCGCGCAGAGCAGCGTGAAATTGATAAACAGATTTCGAACGTTAGATAAACAAAGGATATGCCTTTATCTTTTTTTGTAGCAATTCCACTTTTTGTTTGATGGATCGAAACCTACTTTCGTTTTGTAGTCTTTGGGAGCTCCAGCATCGGAATTCTATTTGAAAATCGAAAGTTCAAGCTTAATTTTAAAAATTTGCTCTTACGTTGCAAAAAATAACAAGCCGGATCCATTCAAAGATAAGGAACACGCCAATCATCAACATTACTGAATAGATAATTTTAGCTTAGTTAACCGTCCGTTATACATTAAACGCGCATGCGAACGTTTCTGCACTTCGTAGACCATATGCGCAGTCGTAAATGTCTTGCGCGCACGCGAAACGCCTGTGCGCATGCGTCAACGCGCCGCATCGCGAAGATTTAGTTTTTGAGGTCGGATTAATCATCATCCGGATTATGGGTGTCCGAATTAACGACTTTTGACTGTATTGTCTGTGCATTTAAAGACTGTGACAAAATTTAAATTTAAATTAGTATCTCTCGGCAAGACAGTCTTAAAAGCATCTTTGATAGCAGCCTCAGTTACATTAATAGGAACTCCAAATAAAATAACTCTATCCATATTTGGGTACACGTGCCATATTGGCATCTGGAGAAGATGATATCAAATGTTTAAGCTGTTCTTGATGCTCCTGTGTATCACAACCTATCTGAAGATCCTTCGAACGAGTTAAACGCATATTTGTAATGTGGATTGCTGTATTTGATACATCAATTTTAGCTAATTTAGATTGAAATTCAGCCAAAGTATTGACTGGTTTCGATGAGGAGACAATGATAACATTATCTAAATGACGTTTAGAAGAATTACCAATCACAGAAAAATTATTCTTAAACGCAACTTTTCTAGTGTCTTCTGTCAAAGAAACTTCCCTTACTAGGATAATTATTTGTGAAATTTTATCTTTTCTGCCAATTATATCCGTCTGAATATCTTTATTTTTATTATAGGAGTTCAAATATGCATAATTAGTTTGAATGCAAGTGTCTGAGACAGCTATTGAATTCGTTTGGGAAATTTTATCTGCATAATGTATTGAAATGGAATCGGTATTTGTCGCTTGACCACTTAGATCATCTGCTACAAAAGTTCTCTCTTCAACAAGTTGTTTAAGATCTAATATAGACTGTAGCATAGGTGCCGTTTGCTTTTGTTGGCTAATTAGATCAGCTAGTGAGGTAATAATCTCCAAATTGCTTTCAAGTGTTGCTTTTAGATTGTTTAAAAGATTACGAAGTCTTTTAGTATCTCTCCTGGATAATTTTAGAATTTCTTGATTTTGAAATAAATGTGAAATAAGTGAAAATAAGCAAAATCTGCCAAATCCTTTTGATTTTCTAGTTGAGCAGCACTTTCAGCCATGATAAAGGCAACAGAAAAGGACGATGAAATCAACGATTCGTTAATTGATCAAAGAATCAATTAACAAAATAAATTAATTCAATAACTCAATGGGAACAAGTAGATCCAGCACTCAGTATTTAACATTAGAGTCTATTGAGTTATCCAAGGAAGAACCACAAAAGTTTAATTTCTATCACTATGTGCATATTAAAATAATATGAAGATAAAATTTAGTAAAACAGAAATGGCAAATTCATACTTTAAAAGGGAATCTGGTGTACCCCAGAATTGCATATAATTATTCTAATATTTAAGTTACCAAAAAGTTATAAATGGAGTGGCGACAAACCAAGGCAATAAGGGAGCCAACATGAGAAACACTTATTTTTAAAAACTGGTTAATACAGTTGAAAAATGCGAAAAACAGCTGAAAAAGGACATGGAATTTAACTGCGAGTTCTTAAATATAGAAATTAATAAATTAAAGGCTGCTATTAAGGGGGGAACCATAGTATTAATTTTGTGGATAGCGAGTCTGGCTGTCATATATATACAATAGAGAGTACATGGCGGCATGTTAAAGCTATGTTCTGCTGTCCGAAGAAGCATTCATTATGGTAAGTGTATTTATTTTATTGTTTTTAGTTTGTAGAATGTTATGTTCATTGTTTTTTTACTATGAACTTCTGTTCTTATTGTTGTTTTTTGAATTGTTTGTAATTTATTTTAGTTGATTTGTGTGCAATGCCTAGATTGTGCAAATTGTAGATGTTTTTTTTTAGTTAAAACATATCGCTGTGTACATGCATTCTTGTCAAATATTTTTGGTTAGAAACTTTATGTTTTTGCTATCTAAATTTTTTATTTTTGTTTCGGATTTTTAGCTTAAATTGTATGTTCAAAACGTGGTTTTTGGAAACATTTAAGGCTTTAAGTTCGAAATTTAGACAAAAATTTAGATAGTAATATGGCACCGTGGAGTTCCTCGCCAAAAATACTTGACGAGAAATTTGTCGCCAAGCGAGAGCATATATAAGAGTAGTTCCAAAATGTCATATTATTTATTTGTCTACACTTCTTCATACCTCTCTTTAGCATTATATTTTCCTAATATTTAACTTATTAGATTTGTAAATTAATTTGTTTTTAATTTTAAGATAGTAAATAGTATTAAGCAGTCTATTTGGTATTCAATGTATTTAGTATATTATTTCGCTTCGCTTGCAATGTTATTTTTTATAACATAAATATATGTATAAATGTACAATAAATATGTTTGAATGTGGATTTTAACAAAGGACAAACTATTTGTACATTTAGAAAAATAAAAGATAAAATGCAATTTTTTTGTTTTTTCATATTATTATGTTAATAATACTTCATTTAAGTGTTAACTATAAGCATTTTTACTCTAATATCATCACTGCATAAATGCGCTCACTAGACATTTGCACGATGGCGTCGATTAGGCTTGGTGTGGGCCTATGTGATTATAAGAGATCTTGTAAATTTCTTGCCCTTCGGTATAGTAATGGAAAAATTTCTAACATATTTGAAGTGGTCTGAAAGATAAAAGTGTAAAATCTCAATTGTACACATTAAAAAAAAAAAAAAAAAAAAAAAGAAAAAAGTTAATTATAATTGATTTTGACCATTCTCATCTTTAAAATAAGATGAAGAAACTGCAATAAGTTTTATTAAAAAATAAGTGCATTTATTTATATATTAACTACTTTCTATATCACTCAGGTCTGCTGCAAATTCAGCATCAAATTCTTCTTTAGACATCTAGAAAGAAAAGGAAAATTCAACACTGAGGAATTACTTTCTATAGATGCAGAACAAAGAAATATAAATTTATACATAGTACAATCGTTACAAACTAGTTACAGCCAACTAAGTTACAGCCAACAACAAGTAAAACTTGAGAAAAATGTAGAATACAAACCTTTCCCTTTTTAAATTTTTTCACTAATCTTGCATCTCTAGCAAGATCTTGCAGTTCTTCCTGAGAAAATTTTATAGCCTTCTTTCTCCTTCTTTTCTTGGCAAGTAATCTTTTTGCTTCTAATTTTTTTGCTTTTAATTTTGCAGCCTACAATTAAGAAATTTTAAAAGCTTTAGTTTTTTATTAGTATAGTTATCACTTCCAATAAGTTCCATCATAAGAAATTAAATACTGAACAAATAAAGTTTCTGCCTACTTGCTACAGAAGTATTTTAAAATCACATAAAAGAGCCCTTAAATAACAAGAATTTATTTCAGAAAATAAAGAAGAACAATGCAGTAATTTGTACCTTAAAACTACACTTGCATTTTTTAAAATATAAGAAAATGCTTTAAAAGAACGAAGTTTTCAAAAGAATGAGCTAAATAAGTCACATTTCAGATAAAATATAAAATAAAAAGAATACATTTGATTTAACAATTCATATTTCAATCATATTAAGTATATTTTCAGAAGTTTTAAATGATACAGATAAAAGGTAAGTAATAAAATTTTCTTTAGCTTAAAAAAATATGTCCTATTTCCTTTCTTACTGAATATTTCAGTATCTAAACATTTTTTGTCAGTGACAATATCAATATCTATTAAAATCTATTTCCTCATGGGAATTCCTCTGAATTTTTCGAAAATTCACTGGTTTGTGATGCAAGTGGTTCATATTATGGACAAAAAATATTAATGAATGAAAGAAAAATTCTCATATCTTAATCTTAAATATCTATCAAAAATAATTTCTCTGCATGTAAACACAGATTTAAATAGTAAACTTACTCGTTTCTCTGAAATTGCACTCCTCTTTTGGGGATTCTCCAAGAATTCTTTTAATCTTACTTGCCTTTGCTTTTCTCTTACTTTATCACTATATAAAACATTTAACATCAAAAGAGTTTTAAGATTTATAAACAAAGTTTCATAAAATTACATCAGAAAAAGCACAGGTACCATAAAAAGAACAGTTTTTTTCATTTGTAAAAAAGCTTTCTTCACTTTTTTCTTCCATAGACATAGTCATTTTGATTGAACTAAAAGTTAATGATAATTACAAAATTGTAATAAAATCAACCACTAAAAGAAAGTATGAAGAAGTATATATAATGAAAAAGAATACAGTTAAGTTTATTTGGAAAAAAAATAAATTGTATAAAATATTTATTTAAGAAGGGAAGAAGTAAAAGCTTCTTTAAAATATTTATAAATTTATGTAAGATAAAAATATTTACACAAACTTCTGGTTTTAATTGGCAACAGCCCCTTTCTGACCTAAAAATAATACATCAATCTAAATTGCATAATTAATCCGTATCATAGGATCTTACATAACACTGTAATGCAGGTACATTTTTAGCCAATCAACAAATAAGATCTCGATTGAAATAGCGTTTTGAGAACCAAAACCCAAGTTGTTAATTTGTTGTTCAAGTTTTTAATTTGTTGCTGTAATTAAAAACCTAAGTTGTTAATTTGTTACAAAATGCCTGATTAGGAGGTAATACAAATAATTTTACCTAGGTTGCTGCCTCAAATAAAAGATTTTTTTTGAATTAAGAAATCCAACAACACTTGAGAATCTATTAGAGCTCGACATAAAATTCAAAAGGAGGCATATGGCAGAAAAGACACGTATGGCAGGATATGATGAGAGGCCAATTGGGCAAAGCTTTAGGCCTACACCACAGCAAAGGCCACAGTTTGCCCAGAATAAGCATTTTGAAAGTAGACAAAAGGATGCAACCGCTAGTGGTGGCCGCCAGAATGAAGGGTAAAAGACAAAACAGGGGCAATAAGAAAAATTTAAACTAAGCAAGCAATTTAAGCAAAGGTACTGAAGATAAGAAAGAACAATTACACCGAAGGATAGAAAATTCCTCTAAAATACTATTAAATACTTTAATTGTTAAAATCAACATTGCCAGTAGTGCAGGTATTGCTAAATAATGTACCTGCAGATGCATTGCTAAACACTGAGGCTGAGTGTAATTTTCTATCAGAAAAAGTTTTCTGCAAATAATTTGGAAGGTATCACTTGTTAGATGTAGCAAGAACAAAAGTTATTGTCGCTCAAGGCAAGCAATGAAAGTACTTAGGTAAAGCAGAATTGCATGTTCAAGTTAAAATAATTAGCAAGAGGGCATATTCCTTGTCGTGAAAAATCTAAAACTTTGAAAATATCTGCAATATAAAAATAAATAATGGCAAAAGTTTACTTACGAAAGATTGCCAAATGGTAATGAAATAAATATTAAATGAAACAAAGAAAATAAAAGGTAATTATAGATTAAAGACAGTTTAAAGATACTTGAAATAAAAAAGCAGAATTTATTTTATCAGGGTAGCAAAAATGTATTCAAACTAGAAATGGACAATCTGCTTGGAATCTGATTCAAAGAACCGATTCACTTTACTGAGCGAGTGATCTCCGAGACAGCAAAAACAGAGCAGTAGTCTTTAAGAGTTCACAGAGAGTTCTTGTTGGAAAGCGTGGCGAAAATTTTATTCTTCTTGCGTAAACACTAACATTCTTTCCTTTACTACTTACCGAAAATGTCTCTCACCTTTTTTTAATATGCGTGTGTGTTATATGTATATATGTGTGCTTTTGTTTTACCTGTGTTCCATCTAGAATTTAAAACACAAATGATTAAATTAGATTGTAGATTCTAGCAGCTCAGTTTCCTTCTCGGATTCTTAACAGTCAGTATGCTTCTCTAGCAGATGTATGTTCTTTGGAGTCTTGACTATTCACTTTTTTCATTGCTCTGATCTGGCTTCTCAAAGTCTTGATTATTTGCTCTTTTTGCTTCCTCGGAACATCATTTTATTCTTTGAATACTATGCTATAGTATAGCTATGTATACCTTTTTTATACACTATTATTGTAACATTTATGTAAAATAATAAATTATATTTTTATTTATTTACTTATTTTACAAACGTTTTGTAGTCAAGATCTCTGAATTTCTCTTTAAACTTATTTAAAATTAGTATATATTTATAAGCATAAATTTTTCTATCTAATGTATTTTTTCAAGGCTGCAGAACAAAATATGGCTCCTACCCCGTAAAAACCTTGTAGTAGCAGCAAAACATCAATTATAGTAATAAAATAATGTAATATTTAACAAAAGTTTAGTTTTTTAACTTTTAGCAGTTTTTTATTCCAGAATTTTATTGTTCTTCTGTGTAAAAAGGTATTTTTAGAGAATCTCAAAAGTACGGTGGAAAGAAATCAGTCCAGGGAGTGAGTGGTTTGATTCAGTTGATTCCACCAATCCCACTCCTTGTTGGATTCTTTCTGCTTTTCCCCAATCTCCGCACACTGCTCTTGATCCACGCCTGTTCCGAGCACATTCATCAAGGTTATTGTTAGTGAGAGGTGAATCGTTAAAAAGAACTGATTTACTTGAGTGAGCGAATGGTTCCAATCCGATCCCTTAAAGGAACGGTTTTGACCATCTCTAATTTACACCCATAAATCTAATTTAATGTTGCCAGTAAAAATGCAATCATATATATAAAAGTGGTAAAAAACAAGGTAAACCTTTAAAACAAGGTAGATGTAAATTTCATATATCCCTAAAAAATTAGCCAAGAATAAAGACAGAAATTAAGTATTATAAAAGAACATTGCAGAATTTTTATTGAAATCCTAGGAAAGTAAATTTCAGTTCCCCATTAAAGTAGAGCTTCAAAAAATTTACAAATGATGTCACTGATTAATACATGGCATAAAACAACTCGAACTTGTAGCCTGCAAATTGCATGCAGACCCCGAAACTATTTTATGTGGTTTACAAATATGTATTTGTTGAAAATATAATGTTGTAAAGATTTTAAGATTTTAATTATTTGCATTCCGAGTTTAGATTATTTTCATTCCCATTAAATTTAATGAGGATAATGAATGAACTAAAAAAATCTATAAACAGTGGTAATTAATTTATAATGTGATATAAATCTGTAGAGGTGACTTTAAGATTTTAACAGGTATTTTAAGTTTAAACATGCTTTACTCTTTATTCTCATTTCCCATCTACTAATCCCTACCAGAATGAGTTTTTAATATCACGTTTTATGTAAATGAGTTACAAGGAGTATTTAAGGAAGGTTCAGCTTACTTTGAGAGAGAGCTTAGGAGTCCTTAGTGACACATATTTGCCATCTGGCTTCTTTAATCTTAAATCTAATACGCTTCACTGTATTGTACATGCCGGCTGATAATCGCCTGAGAGGTTAAATTAAGGGACAACTACATATTTGTGTCTAGCTTCGGCTAAGTCTGTTTAGTTTAGTATTTTCTTATCTTGAGTTAAAAGCATGAGTGGAGGCTTTCCTGTAAGCCCAAGGAGGGGCAATCTTTTATTATTTCTTTGAGTGAATAAAAGGGTATTTTAACCGTTCCCAGGACTTCGTTATAATTCACTTGAACATAGTGATAAGTCACTCTACAGCTCATTAGGTTCTTTCATATTTTATGTAGATAAAGTAACGAGGAACACTATAAATCTTACAAAAAGATTTGAAGAGACATATTTGATTAACTTTTATTTATACTTGTCTAAAAATAAGTAGGCTCAGTTACGAATTTTTGCACTACGAATAATTACTTTAAATGGGAATACATGCATTTAGTTTTTTTCACAGCTGAAAATTAATCAGAAAAGAGCCGGATTGACAAATGAGCATTTACAACATGTGATGAAGGTAATTTCTCCAATCCACAGACATTACACCCACAAATTTTTTAAGTATATATAAATTTATAATTGTTTACATACATGCATATGTATTTTAATTTATGTATAGAAGAAAAGTTTTAATAAGTAAGAGAAAGAGACTAGGTTGTCATGACTTATTCTCAAGTTTTGTCCCACTTGGAAAGTCTTCTCTAAAAACTTAGAAAGTTTTCAAAATATGTTTCATTTTTGATTTAAACTGGCATTAAGCTATTTAATCATTAAGCATATTAGAATTATTTTAAATAAAGGTTAGACTCAAATACTAACATTTAGTTGTCAGTATATTTGAATTACAAAGCTTAATCAACAAAAATGTCTTGCAGGTACCAAGCTTTAGATTTCCGATAGAAAATAAATTTAAATTTGAAATTTTTCCTATTATTATTTATTTATTTATGTTTTGATAAATAATTAGTAAGCAAAATTTAAAAAATTCAGTTCCAAAAGTTCTTATTTTGTTGAAAAAAATTTTGACTTGGTTAAAAAAAAAAAAAAAAAAAAAAAAAATTGGCTTATCTGCTGCTTTCAGATCATGCATTTAGCTTGCATGCAATTTGAGTTTGAGATTATTAGCATAGAAAATATGATTTCGTTCTTGTAAAACTTATCACACAGAATTTTAAAAAATATCATAAATAGCTATGCATTAAAGAGAAGAAAATATAATACATAATTGTTTCCTAAAACACTAGTTTCCAGACTTTTTCGGTTAATGGTGTCCTGTGTTTATCAGATTTATGTATCAGTTTCTTATCAGATCATACATCTATGCAAAACGCACAATACATACAGATGAAGGACAGAATAATACAAACATCTGTGAAATAATGGAAAATCTTCATTAATAGGGGGTTGGGCCACCCTTTGACTGAAGTACAGATTGAATGCGATGTGGGATAGATGCATAAAGCTCATGGACAATATTTAAAAGAATATTAAGCCATTCCTCTTGCACAGCGGCCTCTAATTTCGAACGTCCAGATGGAGATGGAAATCGGGAATGAAGTTTGGACTCCAAATATGCCCATAAATATCCAAGTCCGGAGACTGAGGGGCCAAAGGAGATGTTTAATTGCATCGTCATGCTCTTCAAACCATTCTTGAATACACCTAGCAGTGTGGA